CCAACACCCATCCAGTGCAGCCGATGATTCACTATGATTAGTTGATTATTTAAGAACGTAGCCTCTCTGTGCCGTGGGCATTTTAACTGAGCTCAGTACATATTCGCTATGGGTTGGAACCGACTCAGTGGCACTCAACAGCAACAGCAAGTACATATTTAAATATTGACTCTTTTAAGTCTTCAGTTTCTCATTCCATATATGCTAGTGTTCCATCACCCACCAGGCAAATGTTATAAAAAGCAGATTGGTCTGAAATTATTCCCAGAGACAGGTAGCTGGTTGGTTACAGTCTGGAAACTAACTCCCTGATCTCTAGGACCTAGTGCAGGTCCCAGGGCACACAACATGCCACTTCAGCTCTGCCCTGAAGAGAGGTGGCAGTGGAAGCCTTAGCCCTTCAGTCCAGAGAGGTGGGTGGACAGGCGCTGTAGGACTGTGGAAGGGCTGAGTGCGCATGGGCAGATGAGACACCCGGCTCAACCTCAAACCCTGCCTCTGTGTCATAACTGTGGGCCTGCGTGAGCACCAAGGTCTTGTGTGTTTCAGATGGCTACTAACTCAGAAGGAGGCTTCCAGAACACTAGAGGGAAGGGTCAGGATCTGGGACACGTGTGTATGGTATCAGAGGTGTGTCACCCTCATCTTTGCTATGCGGAGCGCAAGCATGGAGAGCCACAGAGGTAGAGTGGCAACCCCATGGCTGTCCACAGTGCTAGAAGGTCTCCCGTGGTCTCCATTGTTCACTCCAGCTGTCATCTCCTAAGAACAGCTATTGAGTTGACTCCTTCAGGCTCTGCCACTCACCCATTGACCAGAGTCCTGGGTTTTCAGCTCCTTGAGGGGTGCATCTGTGGCTCCCCCATGGACCTCAAGCCCAACAACTTGTCATCTGTGTGGCCAAAGCTGCTCTCCTCTTCCTAAGTCTGCCATCAGTTGCCTGTTCTTTACGCTCCCACTGTCCCTGGCCTTCACCCAGACATGTCCAGGTGATGTGGGTTTCCCTGCCTAACCCAGGTGCCCACCCCCCTCCTACCACCTCCACCTCCTTTACGACTGAGAGGCTTTCCACAGTGGGTTGCAGCTCTTCCTCCCACTGTTCATACTGTACTTTCCACATGTTGATGTTGCACATCTCTGTGTATGGTGTGCAGTTGGATTGGGCTGTGTTTCTGACTCTCCATGGAGAAATGGTGGTGGTCGGACCTGCAGGTTTCTATTACATAGAAAACTGTGGAAATGTGTGGGCTTAATCAGACATGCCCACCACTCGTCTGTCAGTTTGTTGTACTGTGGTGGCTTGTGAGTTGCTGTGATTCTGGAAGCTATGCCACTGGTATTTTAAATACCAGCAGGGTCACCCATGGTGAACAGGTTTCAGATGAGCTTCCAGATGAAGACAGACTAGGAAGAAGGAGTGACGAACTGCTTTCGAATATTTAGTCCCTGAAAACCTAACGAATACAGAGATACACTGTCAGATATAGTGCCAGAAAATGAGCCCCTCAGGTTGGAAGGCACTCAAAAGGCAACTGGGGAAGAGCTGCCTCCTCAAAGTAGAGCTGATCGTGATGATGCAAATGGAGTAAAGCCTGTGGGAGAAAAGCCCATGGGACCGTCATTTGCTGATGGGGCACAACTCAAAATGAAGAGAAACAACTGTAAGCATCCTTTAAAAATCAGAACACGGAATGTACAAAATATGACTCAAGGAAAATTGGAAATTGTCAAAAATGAAATGGAACGCATAAACATCAATATCTTAGTCATTAGTGAGCTGAAATGGACTGGTATTGGCCATTTTGAATCTGACAATCACATGGTTTATGGGAATGACAAATTGAAGAGGAATGGTATTGCATTCATTGTCAAAAAGAACATATCCAGATCATCAGTCAAAACAAGGCCAGGGACAGATTATGGAACAGACCGTCAATTACTCATATGTAAATTCAAACTAAAGCTGAAGAAAATGAAAACAAGTCCACGAGAGCCAAAATATGACCTTGAATATATCCCACCTGAATTTAGAGATCATCTGAAGAACAGAATTGATACATTAAACACAGACCAGGAACAGTTGTTTCAATAGAACATGGAAACACTGAATGGTTTAAAATTAAGAAAGATGTTTGACAGATTGTATTCTTTCACCATACTTATTCAAACTGTATGCTGAACAAATAATCTGAGAAGCTGGGTTATATGAAGAAAAACGTGGCATCAGGATTGGAGGAAGACTCATTAACAACTTGCGATATGCAGATGATACAACTTTGCTTGCTGAAAGTGAAGAGGACTTAAAATATTTACTGATGAATATCAAAGAGCACAGCCTTCGGTATGGATTACATCTCAATGTAAAGAAACCAAGAATCCTCACCATTGGACCAGTAAACAACATTCTCATCAACGGAGAAAAGATTGAAGTTGTCAAGACTTCATGCTTCTTAGAGCAACCATCAACATTCATGGAAGCAGCAGTCAAGAAATCAAACGACATACTGCATTAGACAAATCTGCTGCACAAGACCCTTTTAAAGTGTTAAAGAGCAAAGATGTCAGCTTGAGGACTAAGGTTCGTCTGACCCAAGCAATGATATTTTCAGTAACCTCATGTGCATTCAAAAGCTGGACAGTGAATAAGGAAGACCGTAGAAGAATTGATGCATTTGTGTTATGGTGTTGGAGGAAAATATTGAAAGTGCCATGGGCTGCCAAAAGAACCAACAGATCTGTGTTGGAAGAAGTACAACCAGATTGCTCCTTTGAGGCCAGGATGGCCAAACTTTGGCTCTCATACTTCGGACATATTGTCAGGAGGGACCAGTCACTGGAGAAGGGTATCATGTTTGGTAAGGTGGAGGGTCAGAGAAAAGCGGAAGACCCTCAGTGAGATGGACTGGCAAAGTGGCAGTATCAGTGGGCTCAATGTGACAACAATAGTGAGGTTGGCCCAGGATCAGGCAGTGTTTTGTTCTGCTGTGCATAAGATTGCTATGAGTCGGTACCAGCTCGATGGCACCTAACAACAACAACAATCAGACGTACCACCTCTCTAATCTTGGAGTTGCCATTTGAAATGTTTGTGAGTGCATCTGGGTTGTGTGTGGCAGATCGGTTGACACCTGTGAAAATTTATATGGACCGTGACTGACTTGCCCTGGCTTCACAAGAATGCAAGAGAATCAAACTTAAAAGCAGTCCCAGGCCTCCTGTGAAGCGGGGGTCAGACACGCGCCCACCCTACAGCCCTCTTTACCCTATTCTGACACCAACCACCCCTCCCACATAGTCCCTGCTTCACCTCAGGGTTCTATAAGCCACTGCAGTGGCCATATAGCACTCATAACGATATTCAGAATTATAGGGTTTCTTAGGGAGGTGAGCAGGGTACAATTCAGGATCCAAATCACCTCAGGACGCAGCAGTTCTGCAGTCAGGATTGCCTCTTGTCTGCCAGACTGCAGGCACACCTCACTCTTGTCTTCGGTCTCTCAGCCGTGTGGTCCCTTGGCCTGTGCCCTGTTCTAGCATGCGTTATAAAGTTCTTTTAGCCAGTCCTCGAATGTCCAAAGGGCACGTTGTTGAAGCCAGTCTCCTGCCCGAAGAAACTCAGTTTTGCTCTGTCTGTAGGCCTAGAGCTTGGAGCCTCTTTGCCTGTCCTGGTCACCGCCCCTACTCTTGCTGTTTCTCATGCTTCACTCATGCTCTTCCTTCTGGAGGGTCCTGGGTCCTCTGTTCCTGCTGCTGAGATGGCTCTTTTACATCTAGCTAGAGGGTGAAACTAACCAATCCGAGCCTCAGAGTCCTGTACACCTCATTTGCATGGTCCCACCCAACCTGCTGTGGTGCTATAGGATCAGCACGGGACTGCAAACCACAAGGTCCGCAGTTCAAACCTACTAGCTGCTCCTTGGAAACCCTACACAGAGTCAATATGAGTCGGAACTGACTTGATGGCACTTGATAACAACACCCAACCACTTGGTGGGAATTAAGAAGACTTTGGATATCAAAGGCATATCAAGTAAATGCAAGGTACCGCAACATCCATGGGAGGTGTCTTCTGCTACACTCTGGCCCTGGGATCCATGAGAACTTGCGAGATCAGAGAAAGGCTGTATGGGGGCGAGACAGGCACTGTGGGAGCAACTGGGGAAAGAGCCTGACAGTGGACACCTGCATTCTTGTCTCAGCTCCTCCCTGACGTGAGGTGGCCCAGTAAGAGTGACCTGGTATGGTGGGTGGGGTTTTCGGTAAAGATGCACATTCCCCGTTCTGTGGGGCTGTGGTAGGGTGGAGGGTTCCCAGTTAAAGCAGGGAATCAGGACAAGCACTCTGTACCTTAAGTCTGTCACTGTAACTTGAACCCAGATCCTGTCCCATCGAGCTTTTGAAGCAAGTCCACTGGGCAGAACTCCTCGAGAACTTCCTCAGCCAAACTCATTTCTAGTTTCTTTTTCTTGAGAAGGGAAAGAGAACTTAAAGACCAAGCAGAGACCTTCCAGACTTCTAAGTTTCTTTGCAGGTGTTCTGTACACACCCAAATCTCCCATTTGTTTTGTTTTTTTTTTTGTAACTCACCTCCATTAACTCTTTCTAACGCATTTCACTTAGCCTCGGTGAAAACAGCTCCTTTTTTACATTTGTATGTATTGCTGTTGCTGATTGCAATGTTGGTGATTCTATACAGAGTCCGTATGATCAGAACTGACTTGATGGCATTTAACAACAGAGGTTTATACTATCAAGTTCTGTTCCATGGTCGTTTTTGTACAGCTGGCCTGGACAGACAGAGGGAGGCCACCGTAGAGCCTAGAGTATGGGCCATGGGCAGCAGGGCGCAGGTTTCATGCTCATGGCCAGCTAGCGTGTCCTGAGATGACAGATACTCGGTGTGGTTTATTCCTCGGGTAGGTTGTGTGGAGCCAGGAGTATTAACTGTGTGTCCTGGGTCAGCTCTGTTCACTCTGTGTTTGTGCCTCCTCTCCCTCTAGCTCGGAGCCAACACCTTGCTCTTTGTCAGCGTGAACGTGTCTGGGGCCTTTGTGCGGATTTTGACTGAGCGATGCCAGAGGAAGGCCTTCCTGCTGGCCCGAAACTACATTGAGGAGAGGCTGAGCCTGGAGGATGAGAATGAGAAGCAGGTCAGTGTTCTGGGCTCTGACCACCTGGTGCCTAGTGACAGGCTCTCTGGTGGGGACACAGAGGCACCAAGCAGCGGTCCCTGCATGCCTGGCTGTGCTTAATGGCTTCAGGGCCCAGCTGGCCCATTTTGCCTTTTCCTGACCAGCTCCTCCCCTTCACCGGCTGTGTGCAGCCAGTGCACTTGGCAAGCTGCAGAACTGGGCCAGGTCCCGGGAGCGGGGGAGGGAGGAGGGGTGCACCTGGAGAGACTCCCCCACCTCTGGCCCCTGTGGACAAGTCATTTGTCCTCAGTAGGCCTCTGTTTACTCATTGGCAAATGGGGCTGCAATGCTTATGTCACGTGGGAGCTAGGCTAAGACCCCTGAGGTTTGATCCGAATCAAGAGAGTCCACAGAGCAGCTGGAGTGTTTCCCTGCTGTGGCTGCATGGTGGGGAGAGTGTCTCCTGTGCTCCAAGTTGGGCACATGGGCATGGTGTCCTCTCCTAGTGCCAGGAAGACAAAGCCATGTTCTGTTGGGGGCAGGGCCTTAGTTTCTGACTTGAGGACCTTTATATTCCTCCAGCACACCTGGCCCTGGTTTGGTACTTGGTGAACTCCAGTGTACATTTGCAGCTACCCTGTGACAAGACAGGGCACTTGGACAACCTCAGTGGTGATGATAACAGCACTGGCTTTGAATCGTGCTGTCCCTAGCTCCTGGCATGAGTCTCCTCATTGTGGCCGAGAGTGCTGCCAGCCTCCCAACTGTAGAGACCACAGGAGAGGCAGAGAGGCTGGGATCAGAAGGGACCCACTTCCCTCCTGTGTCCTTTTCTTCTTGCTAGCATGTGTACATGAGTCCCTGCTCTGAGGCGGGGATACTGGGTGCATGCTCCCCAGTTCTGAGGTGAGGGAGCTAGGTGATATACTCTGGTTCTGAGGAGGCAGTGTCTGGTGGAGATGCCCCAGTCTGAGGAGAGAGACTGGATGAATGTGCCTCTGTTCTAAGGAATGGGCGTCAGATGGACATGCCCTGATTCTGAGAAGGCAGGCCAGGCAGATGTGCCACAGTGCTGGGTGGACAGACCTGGATTCTGAGGGGGGAGTGCTGGGTGAATGTGCCCCAGTTCTGATAATGGAGTTCTAGGTAGACAAGCCCCAGTTCACAGGAAGGGGCATCAGGTGGATATTCCCCAGTTCTGAGGAAGAAAAGTGGGAAGGGTGTGCTTTGGTTCTGATGATGGGGTACCAGATAGATATGCCCTAGTTCTGAGGAGGTTTGGCTGGGTGTGTGCACCCCAGTTCTGAGGAGAGGAAGCTGAGTCAAATGAGGAGAGCATGCCAAGTTCTGCAAAGGAGAGATCAGTTGGATGCAGGGAAGGCAGGCAGGATAGGAAGTAGCCACTGAGTTTGCCCCCTGGACACTTCACTTGTAGGAGGGAGTGGGATGCAGGGTGGAGGCAGGTGGGCCTGGGAGGTAGGGGCCTTGGAAGGAGGTTCAGCTGATGGGAAGAACCTGAGCCGAGCTGTTGACCAGGAACGAATCTGGCAAACTGTGGGAAGTGAATTGGGCTGGCTTCTAGATCCCTTGCTCAGAAATGGTTCTGTGCCCCTGCTGAGGTATTTGAATTCAGCTGTGTAAGTTGTGGGACTTTTGACGCCTCATTAGCAGGATAGAGATAGAGCCAGATATTTGCTTTAGGTCAACAAAAAGAAGAATTGCAAGTAAGAGGAGAGGGAGAGATCCCATGACAAGATTGGCAGGCATTCTTCTGTCTTCCTTTCACAAGCACAGCTGTCTAATGGCATGGTTGGGGTTTCTTGAAGCAGATAGAGAATTGTGTTTCAGTTCTCAAAGAGGTGTTCCACTCAAGAAGCCTGGCCAAATGTGCCGGGAAAGACAACCATGTGAGTGAGTTTTGTCTATCACGGACCAGCCCGGTTCGTAGAGATGAGGATGGGGGAAATGCTCTTCTACAATGCAGAACCCCCCAGGCTGGTGGTGCCAGAACCAGGCTTGTCCCAGGATATGAAACAGTGTGTGTGTGTGTGTGTGTGTGTGTGTGTGGTTAATGAAGAGCACTCAGCTGTCATCCCAGAAGCTCCCAGAATGTTATATAGTCTCAGTGCCTGCTTCCCTGGTGCTCCAATTTTTCTCCCCAAAGGTGGTAGATTGCTTTTTTTTTTTTGTCTTCCAAATTGTATTTTAGACAATGAATAAAGAAGACCATAGCAGAATTGAAGTATTTGAGTTGTGTTGTTGGTGTATTTGTTAGGTGCCATTGAGTTGGCACTGACTCATAGCAATCCTGTGCACTAATGGAATGAAACACTGCCTGGTCCCAGGCCAACCTCACAATCGTTGCTACACCTGAGCCCAAATGCTGCTGCCACTGTGCTAATCCATTTTGTTGGGGGTCTTCCTGTTTTTGCTGACTCTCCACTTTATCAACCAGGATGTCCTTCTCCAAAGATTGGTCCCTCCTGACACTATGTCTGAAGTATGAGAGATGAAGTCTGGCCATTCTGATTTCCAAGTAGCACTCTGACAACACTTCTTCCAACACAGATCTGTTGGTTCTTTTGGCAGCCCATGACACTTTCAATATTCTCCTCCAATACCATAACTCAAATGCATCAGTTCTTCTATGGTCTTCTTTATTCACTGTCCAGCTTTTGCATGCATATGAGGTTATTGAAAATACCATGGCTTGGATCAGGTGCACCTTTGTCCTCAAACTGATGTCTTTGCTCTTCAACACTTTAAAGAGGTCTTGTACAACAGATTTGAACCATACACTATGTTGTTTGATTTCTTGACTGCTGCTTCCATTAATGTTGATGGTTGATCCGAGCAAAATGAAGTCTTTGACAACTTCATTCTTTTTTCTCCATTGATAAGAATGTTGTTTATTGGTCCAGTGGTGAGGATTTTTGTTTCCTTTACATTGAGATGCAATCCATACTGAAGGCTATGGTCTTTGATCTTCATCAGTAAGTGTTTTAAGTCCTCCTCACTTTCAGCAAGCAAGGTTGTATTATCTGCGTGTCACAAGTTGTTAATGGGTCTTCCTCCAATCCTAATACTAAATTTTTCCTTGTATAATCCAGATTCTTGGAATATTAACTCAGCGTACAGATTGAATAGGTATGATGAAAGAATGCAAACCTGGCACACACTTTTCATAATTTTAAACCATTCAGCATTCCCTTGTTTTGTTTGAACAACTGCCTCTTGGTCTATGTACAGGTTCCTCATGAGCACAATTTAGCATTCCAGAACACTCATTCTCCACAGTGTTGTCCGTAGCTTGTCATGAAAGCTTTTATGTAGCCAATAAAACATAGGTAAACATCTTTCTGATATTCTCTGCTTTCAGCCAAGATCCATTTGATGTCAGCAGTGATATCCCTTGTTCCACATCCTCTTATGAATCAGGCTCGAGTCTCTGGAAGTTTTCTGTCAATATGTGGTTGCAGATGTTTTGTATTATCTTTAGCAAGATTTTACTTGCATGCGATATTGATGATATTGTTAATATGATTTCAGCATTCCGTTAGGTCACCTCTCTTTGGGATAGGCACAAATATGGATCTCTTCTAGTCAGTTGGCCAGGTAGTTGTCTTCCATATTTCTTGACATAGATGAATGAGTGCCTCCAGTGCTGCATCAGTTTGTTGAAAGATTTCTATTTATATTCCATCAATTCCCGGTGCCTTATTCTTTGCCAGTGTCTTTAATGTACTTTGACTTCTTCCTTCAGTATCCATGGATCTTGATCATATGCTACCTCTTCAAATGGTTGAATATTAACCATCTCTCTCTGTTACAGTGACTCTGGGTATTCCTTCCATCTTCTTTTGATGCTCTCTGCATCATTCAGTATTCTTCCCATAGAATCCTTCAATATTGCAAGTTGAGGCTTGAATTTTTTCTTCAGTTCCCTTAGCTTGAGAAATACTGAATGTGTTTTTTCCTTTTGGTTTTCTAACTCCAGGTCTTTGCACGTTTCTTTTTATTATTTGACTTTGTCTTCTTGAGCAGACCTTTGAAGCTTTCAGTTCAGGTCTTTTACCTCCTCATTTCTTCCATATTCTTTAGCATCTCTACACTGGAGAGCAAGCTTCAGAGTCTTTTCTGACAACCATTTTGATCTTTTCCCTTTTTCTTGTCATCCCAATGACCTTTGTTTTTTTCCTGTATGATGTTCTTGATGTTATTCTACAACTCTTCTGGGCTTCGATCTTTAGTATCTAATGTATCAAATCTGTTCTTCAGATGATCTGTAATGCATATGGTGTTGGAGGAGAATATTAAAAGTACCATTGCCTGTCAAAAGAACAAAGAAATCTGTGTTGAATGAGGTACAAGCAGAATGCTCCTTAGATGCTAGGATGGCCAGGCTAGCCTATGATTGTGAGGTTGGTGTAGAACCAGGAAGTGTTTTGTTCTGTTTTACAAAAGCTTGCTTTGTGTTATTACCAACTCAAAGGCACCTAACAAAAACAACAACAAAAAATTTATACAGTAAAACCCACACCAGTACAGCAGTTTCTACATGTATAGTTTAGTGACACTGGTGACATTCTTTGTGTTGTGCCACCCTTCTCACCCTCCTTTTCTGAGTTGTTTCATTCATTAACATCAACCCACTGCCCTTGAAGGTGCCTGTCTAGATGCTTCTGTTTAGTGCCATTCAGTCAGTTCTGACTCACAGGTGGATTACTTCTTATCAGAGGTGAGATGGAGAATTTATTTTCATCTGCACCCAGCACCTCAGGCCATCATCAGATAAAGACGCTGGTCAGAGTCTTGTGTCTCACCCAGGCCCCAGCATACAGGAAGCATCCTAGGCATTTGTTACCCATTGTTCCTGATTTTTGCTGTAACTCATGAAGTAGGTGAAAATTACTGCACCTTTTAGGAGCCATTGTCTTCCTCTCTTACCTTGTTATGAGTTGGAACCGACTCAGCAAAGACACAGAGGATATAAACAACACAATCAATTTACTGACTTC